AATGCCCTCATTTATTGGGTCAGTATTAAATTTTCTTAACATTTCTGGTCATTTGAGAAATATCTCTGTGTTTGTTTTGTTTTGTTTTTAAACAAAAATATATCTTCAATTAACTAAACTACCATTTCCCTAATTGCTGTTAACCTCTTCAGAAGCCTGGATATAAAGCCACCACCACTGTGTGACTCATTCTGCAATTCCCCCAAGACAAAATCCTATGAAACCTTTTCTCTGATGCAGGAGTTACTTAGCAACACAATCTAGCCACTTGGTAGGCAGGGATTAATCCCAGAGTGATAATCATAAAGTTATATCCAAAAGACATTTTTTTTAAAACTGTGCCATCCAAAGATACAGACAAATGATGTGCCTTCAGGGCCGGTTTTCTAAATGCTCTGCTGTACAATTAGAGATGCCTACCCAAGAGGGAATCAGTTCCTTTATTTGTTGTTCAGATGCCCCAAAATTAAGATTATATTTCTTGTATTCAAAAGCCAGAGATAAAAAAAAAACCAAGGGAATCACTATTTATGCCATATGTGCCCTATTAGGATTTTTTGGTACTGTTTCCAAGTGGAAAACTAACTAATTACTGGCAAAAAAAAAAAAGCCACCACTATATGTATAGCAAGAGAAACTATGGTACAGTCTCATGGAGACAGCACAAGCTTGGGAGTCAGGAGATTTGGTTACCACTGAAATTAATTTCACCTCAGTTTCCTCATCTGTAAAATGAAATGATCTCTTATGGCTGTTTCTGCTCTAAAATCCTGCAATATCCTTGATTTCTGTCCTTGAATTATATTTACACAAACTTTTCCCCATGTATTCTCTGACTTCAGGGCACACAGTGGCCCCAAATCTACTGCAATGTCACAGAGCTGCTAAAATAAATTAATAGGTCTCATTATTTCCGTGGATTCAGATCTACTTTAATACTTCAGAAAAACACTGATTTAATCAGTGGAGTGGAGGAGGGGGAAAGGGGTGCCTGCTGCTACCAACATTAAATCTAGCTCCTCCACAATTTAGTCTACCATTTTCATAAGTAGCTATGGCCAAAAAAATAAAAATCAACTGGTAATGAACCTTCTGGTAATAGGATGAGCCCCTCTAAACTTAACTCAGCTGGTCCTCAGACGACAGACATTCTACCTCTCAATGGCCCCATCCTCCAAGCCCTTCCAACCTGATTAAACCTTGCAGGGCTTGTGTTCTGTTGGCATTGCCTATAAGAGCTCAAGGTCACCTTCAATGGCTCCGTGAGGCATCGGGCATTGGAGGCCAACTGGAGTGGAGAGATTCACAGGGACCGGAGAGATTCACATGGACCCTGTGTCAAACTACATCTCCTAAAGCATAATGGCTCCATTTAGTAAAAACTGATGTGAAAAGAGAATAAATGTCTCTCTCTGCTCTCTTCCCTGCCCTCCCCCTCATCACTATTAGAGGGAAGGTTTTCTATATTTATAAATGTTTCCAAGTAAAATTAATCCAAGGTCCCTTCATGGTGTCACATTAAAATACTGGAGCCAAAGCCTCAAAGCAGTCAGGAGCAGCAAAGAGGGAGGGACCCCCTACTGGAATCAGTGTCAGGAGACCTGGGCTCTTCTCCCAGCCTGGTCATTCAGTAGCTGGGTGACTCTGGGCATGTCACTTAATCACAAGTCACAAACCCTGGCCTTCTCATCTGTTAATTGAGCAGATTAAGTGAGATGATCTCTGAAGTCCCCAAAGATTCTACTATTCTACAGCAATGATTGCTCCCTGAAGTCTTACCAGGCCTCATCAACCTCAAACATCCCCTGTCATCCTTAGTTCAAACAGCCACGAAGGTCTAGTGAAGTGTAGAAAGCTACACTCCAGACAGCAAAAGCAAGACACTTCTGATGTCATGGGATTGTTGCATGTGCTTTCTCCCACCGGCCTGACAATGTTCGCCCTAATAAATGTCAATTAGGTCAACAGCTTAATTGTACAATCTCAATAACCTCTTTCAAATATGACAGGTTTCTCATCTTGTAAGGCAAAAGCCCTGTGCTTGAGTCCCATTTACTAGCTGCATGATCTGAGCCCCTGGAACATTATTTACTTACACCATTTTCCAGGAATGTTTGCTAGGATCCAATCAGATAACATATGTAAAGCCCACTTTATAACCACAGCTTACTGTACAACCATAAATGCAGGCCACTCAATAAATACATGTAGATGAATGGCTATTGGGCTTCTGAAGGCAGAAAAGGTTGCAAACATGAAATCAGGAAAAAAAGAAGAAAGATGGAAGAAGGAAGAAGGAGGAAGGAGGAGGAGGAAAGGAAGAAAAAGAAGATGAAGAGGAAGAGGAAGAAGAGGAGAAGGAGAATGAAGAAGAGCAAAAGAGGAGGAAGAGGAGGATGAGGAAGAGCAAGAGGAGGAGGAAGAAGAAGAAGATGAAGGAAGAGAAGGGGGAGGGAAAGATGGGTTATATGGGCCTCACTTTTTTTGTAATTCTTTTTTATTTCTTTATTTTATTACTTTATTTTGATTTATCAATAATCACTTCCATATGCTTTTGAGTTTAAAATTTTTCTCCCCTTCCTCCCCCCCACCCTCCCCAATCTGATAGAGGTTTTACATTTACATTCCTATTAAACATTTTCACATTAGTGAAGTTGTAAGTAAAAATTAAAACCAATAGGAGGAACCATCAGAAAGAGGAAACAAAACTCAACAGAAGAGAAAAAAAATAGCAATTCAACTTCCATAGCTCTTTCTTTGGATGTGGATATGGGCCTCACCTTTTAAATACTCTTTTCCAACAAGTCCCAACAAACAACATGGTCTGAAAAGACAAATCATTAGGGGTAAGAGGACAGCAAAGAAAGCTCAGTCTCTGCGGCCCACTTTTTCCATTGCCTCTCAGGTAGTACGACCCAAGAGTTATCTGAAGTGACCTTCTCATCACTTCAGGCCATGAAGGTCCCTCAGACTGATGGAGGTGATAATTCCTCTCTATCCTTTGCTAGTCTGACCAAACCTTCTGTTTAGTTCTGGGTACCCCACACAAGCCTCTTTTTTCACACACTTGTCATGTAATGTTAGCCATGATAGCTATCTGTATTGGGGTCTTATCTCCCTACTAATCTGCAAATTCCTTGAGGGAAAAGACCTTTTATCTCCCCTGGTGCCTAGAACAGTGCTCTGAATATGCTAAATCCATTTTTGTTGTAAATAACACTAAAGGTAACATTCAGGAACAAAGTACTCCTGCAACACTGATGGGAATCTGGGTAGACATCAAAAGGTATGTATGTAGTTTCTGTCTTCCACTGAGATTCCCTGAGCTGTACTATTCAGGCTTTTACATGGCATCTTTCTTGTTAGAAAAGCAAATCGTTGCACATCCAAGGAAAAATGAATTTACGACTAAGAAACAGACCAAAGCCTTTGCCTAATGAGGTATGTTCCAAATTACTTCTCTTCCCTACTCAGGCATTTGATTCCCATTTTCCCTGTTACTCATGATTTACAAGGAAAAATGTGTAATGCAGAACATTATTTTGCCATTTAGGTGGTAGGGCCCTTTAAGCCATGGAAAGCAAAAGCTGGTGCTTAATCTTGCCCCAGACCTCTTTCCTCCTAAATCTAAACAATAGTGAAATGTACTCTTGCATAGCTCAGCATAGCCCGTACCTCCAACACAAATGGATAAGAAAACTTGCAATATAATTGCTTTAGGTAATTATGTTTATACCAGAGACCAGGACACCTGGTCTGGTTTGTGTGATCTCTGACCCGTAATAATGGGGTGCTCGGGTGCTTGTACTTGTGCCCCAATTTCTCCCTAGTCTCAGAAACACTGTCTCTAACAACCATTCTCCAGCCCAAGGACACTGTGCCTAGCAGTTATTCATGCATGGGCCTCAGCATGACCCTTATCTCTCTCCCTGGTACAGCTACACAGAGATGAGCTGCTCAGGCCCCAGCCCTCAGATCATGTCTCTGGAAGCCTCCCAATTCCTCAGTAAGTTCCTGTGTTGTGAGAAAGCTTTCCCTTGTTGGAGAGCATTCTCTCATCAAGACAGAGGGAGAGGGGTGTCCTTGACCAGCCCAAGGACTCTTCCTCCTGCCAGACTCCAAAGATCCATCCTCCTCCCTGTCCCATATACTCCCTGTACTTTCCCATCCATAGCCCCCAAAGACACCTGCATCTTTGGATTACCTCATCAGTGTTCCTGGCATTTCTTTCCCATGCTCTTTTCCATATAAACCCTAGCTCGACCCCTGATCGGGGCTGCTTGATTTGGATGTGCATACCCCTTGCAGCCGCGCGCTAATAAAGTCCACATCTTAAATTACATCTGGGTCTCACTCGCTGATTTCTCGGTACAACAAATGGACCTCTCAATTTCAAGGTACTGACCAATTAACTCTATCAATGTTGCTGCTTCCTGCCCACAGTTCTTTTACTGAAATTAACTCAAATTTTGTTTTAATTCCATTTTCTGCATGGGAAGATACTACCATGACTCATTAATGAATACATTAATAAAATGTCCTTCACTTCCTCCATGCCTATCCAACTACTATCTACTCTACATGAGTTTTCTCTCCTCTGAATTCTTATACAACTAATCTGTATAATTCCTCTGCCAATTAGCTGCACGATGCCATCAGACACCTCTTCTAGAGCTGCTGGAAAGTGATGTCTAAATTTTTTAAATTATGATTCCATTGCCAAAGGACACTGGAGACTTGCATGGTAGGTTTAAGTCACCTGTAGCATGTTTCCAAAGAGTGGTACAACATATGTCATCCATTGGAGGCCTGTATGATAAGACGAGAAGGCGGCTAATCATGCATCACTTTTTTGTGTCTCCTCAACTAGACTATAAACCCCTGGAGGGCAAGGAATGGATTTGATTCTTCTTTGTATTCCCTTGGGCACCTACAAAGTGCCTTCCCAGAGCAGATGCTCAATAAATCACTGAGGACTTAATCAGACGATTGACACCTACCTTAAATCTCTCAGAAACTCCTTCTGTGATGCTGATTGTGAATTCAGCTATTTTGGGAGTACGGAATTTCCCTTTCTTTCGATCAGGTTCATACTCCGTTTTAGTTTTGACCACCACCTTAGGAAAAAAGACAAGAGACAAGCAAGATTTTAATAACAAGATAAAAATAGACCAATAGGTATGATGACTCTGGTACACATAGTCATAATTGTAACCACGAAATGAGGTGCTCAGAATTTAATTTTCTTTAGAGCATTGGGAGAATAAGAATGCCAACATCCTTCTCCCCCCCCCCCAGGCTAACTTCTTATCAAGTGGAATTGGCACAGCAGATAGAGTACTGGACATGGAGTTGGGAAGACTTGAGTTCAAGTCCATCCTTAGACACTGTCAAGTCATTTAACCTCTGTCTACCTCAGTTTCTTTATCTGTAAAATGAAGATAATAATAACACCTACCTCCCAGGGTTGCTGTGAGGATCAAATGAAATGCTATTTGTAAAGTGCTATATAAATGCTAGCTATTACTAAAGCCCTGGTATCTTAGATCCATAGACTTCTAGAGCTGGGAAATACCTTAAAATCATCTAGTCTCTCTACCTCTTCCACCCTTCTGTTCATGTTATACATGTAACACATCAGGAAACTGAGGCTCAGAGATGGCAAGTGACCCAGGTCACATAGCTAGTCTATGGCAAAGTCAAAGTTAGAAAGCCCAGGTCTGATTCCCAACCCCCTTCCCCTGAAATCATACTTACTGAACTAATTAATAGTAAAATTGTGCAAATCAAAATTATATTTTTAACACAACTATCATTGTTTTCCCCAAAATACCCTTGAAATGCTGGTGCCTGAGAGCTGCAGCAATGCTGACCTGCTGTATTCTAGCTTTTCTTACAAAGTTCTGTCTGCATTAAAAAGAGAGAAAGAGAGAGAGAGAGAGAGAGTCATTTGAGTATATAGTCAATTACCCTTGAACTAATGAGGACTTTCAGAGCAAACCACAAGGGCTCACAAGAATTAGCAAAGCACAATATGTCTATATATGCTCATACCAGGGGACTGCCTTCCCCTGCTTTTTTCCCATCCACCAATACAAACATTCACTTTAACTCTAGTGTTGCCCATTCAGCAGAGGCTCCAGGTGATGGAAGCATGCTATTCCCACAGCTGATAGCAGGACAGTCCAAGGACAAAGAGTGAGTCTCTTGGCAGAGACGTCCCTGGGGTACCAGAAAATCAGGTGATCCTCCTGGGCTCTGCCCTTTGCCAGTATACTCCACCATTCCCACCCCCATCAGGTGACTCAAGGAGCTAGGTCTGAAAAAAGCAGAGAAGGAAGGAAAATGAGAAAGCTCCCTAGCTGGCAGAAAAGAAAAAAAAATCAAAAGCTTGACACTCAAATACATACAATTAGCCCATAAACTGTCTCCCAGCTCCAAGGCCAATCTGGTAGGATGCTAAAGTTTCACTGCCTAATCATTGAGCCACTCTCCTATGACTTATTTTTCCTTCTATAAATTTTCCCTGGATGTTCATTTTAACTTGACCTCTCCTAGATGAAAATAGCTGGGCCCCAATCCTCAAGGACTAGCCAAGGTCCCCAGGCCACCCGCAGGAATACCCAGCCTCTTTGGTGTCTCCATGGTACCCCAATGTCACAATCTTAATGTAGAAAAAGCTACACTGCCCAAGGCCAGGAAAAACGTAATTATTGCTTCTAGGCAAAGCAGCGGTGGGAGTGGAAAGGAAGAAGCAGACAGAGGAGACACTCCATCTAGGGACATAATGGGGACACTTGGCCACCAACTGGATTGCGGAGAGGAGGAGGGGAAGGTAAATGGAAGATGGCACCATTAGGAGCTGGGATGGGGAGAGAAATGATCAGCATCACTTCCTGGGAATCCCAATGTTTTTCCTGTTGGCACAACCTAATCTTGATCTAAATAGCTTTGGGGTTGAAATAAATCAACAGGACTGAAACCTCAAGATATTTTAAGGAAAAAAGTCTTCAGAGAGGCTCGTCTTGGAGATGAGGAAGATGCTGAGATGAATCCCCTGTTAAAAACTGGCCTGCCTCAGGTCGGATCATTCCTCCTTTGGTTCTGAGCATCATAGCCGAGAAATGAAGAGGAATGAAGGCAATCTCAGTTCAGCCCCGAAGGCAAGGGGAGCTGCTCATTGTTAAGTCTGGCACCTGGTCACCAGATGGCAGGCTCCTGAGCCCCTAGAAAGGAGAACAGCTGATCTGAAGGAAGCCTCTGCTATTCTCTGAAAACCTAAGAAAGTCCCAGAGGGGTCCTGTTTCTCTCACTGCACAGTGCAGCAAAAGCATCCCAATTTTGGAATCAGAAGTCTTGGGTTCAAATCCTACCTCTGACACTTACAACTTGTCTGACCTTGGGCAAATTACCTAACCTCTCCAGACCTCAGTTTCTTCATCTGTAAAATTCAGAGGTTGGACTAGATGATCCCTAAATTCTTTTCAGATCTAAATCTATGATTCTTTGATCATAAGTCTTTACAGGGCACATGTTCTATCTGAGATCCCAGGCATCTTAGATAGAACATGTCAAAGAAATCATAGTGAAAAATACTTAATGATTGCTTACATAGCCAACAATCCATCTTTATTTTCAAGATAATTCAACATACTAGTTAGTAAGCACCTACTATGGGCAAGTCCCTGTAATGGGCACTAAGTAATATAAAAATAGATGCATAGAGCCCAAACTCTCAGAGCGATGCATAGTGCTGGCTCTGGAGACGAAAGATCTAGGTTCAAATCCTGACTCTACCATTTGCTGCCTATGCAATGTTAGGGAAATCCCTTAATATCTCTGGACTTCAGGTTCCTCATCTCTAAAGTTGAAGAGTTAAAATTACTAGATAATCTCAAGTCTCTGTTTTGTTTCCTCTTTCTTATGGTTCCTCCTATTGGTTCTAATTCTTCTTTACAACATGGCTAATGTGAAAATATATTTAATAGGAATATATATGTATAGCCTACATCAGATTGTGCGCCATCTTGGGGAGGGAAGGAGAGAAAAATCTAAAACTCAAAAGCTTATGGAAGTGATTGTTGATAAATCAAAATAAATTAATAAAAAAATTTTAAAATTAAAATTTAAAACAATATATATGATGCTGTAATCTAACAAAAGTGTAGGGGCGGGGGGGGGGAGAACACATACACCAGAAGTGTCAAACATGGAATCCACAGGCTCTGAAGCCTTCCCCACTCCTGAGTGCAACCTGAACCAGATTAAAATGTAACTGGCAGTAGATAGAGCACCAGGCCCTGGAGTCAGGAGGACCCGAGTTCAAATCTGGTCTCAGGCCAGACACTTGGTACTTAATTAGCTGTGTGACCCTGGGCAAGTCACTTAACCCCAATTGCCTCATTTTAAAAAAAAAAAAAAAGGAATTCTAAAATGTAATTGGAAAATATTTAACAAAATAAATGAAGACAAGCTAATGTCAAAACATGTTTTTCTAAGTCCCTATGCTCCCAAAGGGATCCTTATGTCCAGTTTAGTGGCTACATTTTCTATCTGAGTTTGATACCACTGATATTACCAGGGAAAGTGAGTTAAGAGTACCAGAGAGGGCAGAGCAAAGCACTGTGGGAAATTTGAAGAAGTAGCCAAATACTCTAACTGCTGACAGTTTTCTCCCAAAGGGATTCAAAATACTGAAGGGTCAGTCTTGGGAAGAAAAATATCAAAGCTGTTCTAGAGTTCATCAGATTTTAAGAAAGTATGTTATGTTTTCTCAAGGGATAGGCCCAGTATTACTATTATGAGTGGAATGTAATCTGTGACCAAGACAAGAATTCACACATACTTCTCTTGCCCTCCACATCTCTCTCATTAAATATACATTACTGATGGGTAAATTCCTGAATCAGATGGTGTAGAAGAATGCAGAGATCCCTGGCCTCAGAGACAAGAGCCTGGGTGCCAGTCAAGGCTCCCCCACTTATTAGCTACAATTGGATAAAACACATCATCTCTTCGGGCCTCTGTATCACTTTCTTCATCAGTAAAATGAGGGAATTGGGCACACGACCTTCAAGATCCTTCCAATTCCAAAATTCCTTAACTTTTTTTTTTAATGTTACCTACTTGGGGTTAGGCGTCCATAGAATTTCAGAATGGGAAAAGAGGTTACAGATCACGTAAGCCAACCTAGAAAATGAGCGTAATAAAGACCCGCCTACCACAAAGGTTTGCTGTGACCAAAGTGCCATATAAACTATAAACTGTTACATTAAAAATGGGCTGAAGTCATCCTTTGCCTAATACAACCCAAACCCATGTCATTTTACAAAAGCATCTTTAATCCATGACAGGCACTCCCTACCTAATGTCAATAATCGGTTCCATTAGAGCCCAGCGTTAGGTGCCACGAACAAGGGTGATCAGCTCCAAAGGAACAAGATTATAAATGGATGAGGGAATGGCAGGAAGCCAGGGCTTCAAGACGTTAGTGTTAGGTTTGTTCAACGAATTAATAATTTTTTGGGGGAACAGACTTAGGTTGGGGTAGTAGCCCCCTACTGAATGAAAACCCAACGTAATATCTGGAGACCTTGCTTTAGCATCACGTGGGTGGTCCCACCTGACCCACGAGCCACAGTATAAGAACCACTATTTCAGTGAATCTACTTCTGTAACATTGCTTCATGTCATTTCAGCTTTTCTTCGAAGCACTTCTCCAGGTCAGGGGCCACATTCCTGTATTTTTATTATTATTCATTCTACACTATAAGTTCCACCCAGCCACGGGCCGTATCTCCTTCATCACAATGTACAGATCAAACAGCCTCCTCCATAGCACCTGAATTTGCTGAATTGGCTGGGTCTGTGTATAAGGGGTAAAAGACATAATAATGACTGTACATTCATACAGTGCTTTAAGATTGGCAAAGCATTTTGAATAAATTATCTCACTGAGTTTTAGAGAGGTTAAGTGTTTTGCTCAGGTTCATAATACTAATAGGAATCTGATGGAGGACTGGAAGTCAGTTCTTTCAGGCTCCAAGCTGAGGACTGTATCGTCCACTTTATTTCCAATTAGATTGTGAGCTCCCCCGGTAGAATGTAAGTTCCTTGAAGGCAGGGGTTGGTTTTTTGCATTTCTTTACATCCCCAGCTCTTAGCATGGTGCCTGGCACCCAGTAGGTGCTTAATAAATGCTTGCAGACCAACTAACTGACTGACACTATACCACAATGCCTCTTGTTGTAAAAGCACTTTGGGAGAAAAATTATAAAACATTTACGTAAAGATATACTATTATTGACATAGAATTTGCTCAAACTTATTTAGGTAATTCAAACAAAGAAATAAGCTAAAAAAGAAAAAGAAGGTTCTAATTTTGTTCTAAATCATCTACAAGGGAAGGGGTGTTTGTATGTACTTGGTACAGTCGTTCATTCTGTATAAAAACCAGAATCAATGTAAGAACAATAAGAATCCACTGAGTAGGCTGAGGTCCCTTGGCCCTGGACCCTGTGCCAGCAGAGAATAGCCATATCCTAGCACTTATCTCTGAGTCTTACTCTCTTCAGCTGTAAAACGGGGATTCGGTTCAATTCAATTCAACAAGTATTTATGAAATCTTTACTAGGCACCAGGCATTGTGCCAGATGCTGGGGATACAAATACAAAAACAGTCCCTGCCCTCAAGGAGCTTCCATTCTACTAGGGTAAAACAACATGTACTAGGAGAAGTCAATACAAAATATAGAGTCAATAAAAATAATTCTTTTGGAGGGGAGGCTCAAGATAGGCCTCATTTAAGAGGCAGCACCTGAGCTGAGCCTTGAATGGAACTATGGATTCCAATAGGAGGAGGTGAAAGAAATAAGATCATTCCAATCTTGCAACACAGAGAGGGGTCATAAAATGTCACATATGGGAAATGACAGTTGGCTGAGATGACTGGAACAGAAATTGTATGGGGAAGAGTACTGGGAAATCAGTCTGCAAAGATGGGCCGAAGTCTAAGTGTCAGAGGCCTTAAATGCCAAACACAAGAGAGTTTAGTTTATCCTGGAGACGATAGGGAACCACTGAAGGTTCCGGAAGAGGGGAGCAATGTGGTCGGTCCAACTGATGTTTTAGGAAGATTGTTGAGGTAGGTACTGGAAGGACAGCTCAGGAAAGAGGAAAGCCATGAATCTGGGGAGACCCAACTAGGACACTATAGACAGTGTCTAGATGTGGAATGATAAAGACCTTTCTTTGTGTAGTGGCTGCTGTGTGAGTAGAGAAAAAGGGATGGCTGGATGTGAGAGATGTTGTGGAAACAAAATCAACAAGGCTTTACAACTAATTGGATACAATGAGGGGAGGTTGAGAATCCGAGTGACTGGAAAGATGGTGGTGCCTTCAAAAGGAATAAGAAATTAGGAAGAAGGGTAACTTTGGGGAGGTGGGAGGATAATGTTTGGTTTGGACGTACTGACTTGGATATCCAGGTACAACTCATGGGATCACAGATTTGGATCTTGGAGAGACTTTAGAGAACCCTGTCAGACCAAGCCTCTCATTTTATCAGTAAGGAATCACTTTTCAGGTTGTGGGCAGGGAGAGCTTCTTATGTCCAGAAAGATTAAGGGATTTGCCCAAGGTCAGGAAGGTGATGAGTAGGAGAGTCAGAATTAAAACTCAAGTCCCCTGACTCAAAACCCAGCACTCTTCCTCCCAGCAGCTGGTGTTGAATGAAGGCTTGGATCTCAAAAAAGATGAGAGCTCAATAATAATCATACCTGACAAGGTTGTAAAGAAAGCACTTTCTAAATAATAAAGTGCTATATAAATGCTAGCTTTTTGCGTCATTATTATAAGAGTAAGCAGCTCTGGAACCCTTGAAACCTTGCCTGTTGTCAGAAGCACAACACAAAGGGGAACTCTCCCATATAATCCTGGAATGGGGACCCAGCTACAGGGTCAGACTAAATTCCTTTGGGCCATTACTCTGGCCTCACAGACAAAAATAACTGTAAAATTTCCTTGCTAGAAATAGCTAACGGTTCTGCTACATCTTAAGGTAGGAAAGTCTATGAACAAGGCAGTACAAGAATCATTATCCCCAGCTTAACATCAAAGAAAACTCAAGATCATATGTGACTTGCTCACAGTCACATATCTAATAAGTGTGGGGTCAGGGAATCTAACCCAGGCCTCCTGTTTATTAATGCAACATTATTTTTGTAATACCAATTATAGCCCCTCCTATTTCTGTAAGCAATTTAAGGTTTGCAGAATAAAAGGCAGATGTAATTACCTTGTGAGGTAGATATAATACCCTGAATTTTTACATTCTAAAAATTAGCTGAATAATTATTACAGTATTAAGGAGAGAAGGTGTGGCAAGAAAGTCAAAGAATTCAATCTCTTTGGACCCCTTACAATGAATGGGGTTACCATTAGCGTCACTTTGATTTCCTTCTGAACAGGAAAGAGTTCTATTTCCATGAGGCCTCTCTGGCTGGCTTTTCTGGCTTTTCCCAGCCCACAGCTCATTCTTTTGTTACAGCTTTGTGCCTGGCCTTTGGGTGTGTGAGCCTGGGGAGGGGGTGCATTGGAGAATGTGAACGTACCTTATCTGGAGGAGGGAACTGCAGCTGATTGACATCCAAGGGTGTCATCAGAGGGATGGTGTCGAAGCCATCCTCCAACAGGGGCTGTTTTGTGCCTTTCTCAGCGAAATTATTCCCCAGTTTCACCATCCTTCTGAGAGAAAGGCAGTACCTGCGGAACCAAAGGGGACAGCGCACATCACTGCAAACCTGGGCCAGGCGCACTTCACAGAAAGACTCCCCAGGTTTCGGTGGCACTGATAACAAAAGACGTGACCTACTGATCTATATGTCCTAAAAAAGTCTGCTCTGGCACCCGGGCAGCTTCTCTGCAAGCCAGGCCACAAAGGCTGCCCTGCCAAACACTCACGGAGGTGAATGTAACCACCCTGGCAGAAAGCTGAGCTAAAGGGGGTGGGGGGGTGAGGGAGACCAGGGCAAGAAATTGTCACTGCTGGATGGCTAAGGTGAGGTTGGGGAGGGAGTGGGGCATTTTTCCCCATTTGCTTTCGCCTTACAAGGGTGAGGTCGGGTCTCGGTATCTGCGTCCTGCTCCACAAAGCCCACGAAAGGTTGGAGAGCTGCTTTTTGCCCCAAATCCCTCTCCATTCCCTTCCCCAAACCCTCTCTGCCCATTCCGTTTTCTAGATCTGTCCATTCGATCTCCCAGTCTCTGCTCCCTCTTCACGCACCCACCCTTAGGAGCTTGATCTCTGCAGTAGTCAACCCTCTAGTCCCAATGTTAGGGGGTTCAGGGCGCATAGAAAAGCTCCAGCGTCCTGTCCTTTCCCGAACCCCCACCCCTGCTGTGGCCCAAGTCACTGCTTAGGAAAGGACGCCCCCACATACCTTTTCTGCACCTCTCCCAACCTCAACCCCACCCTGTCACCCCGCCCTGTCCTCTCCTTCCCAAGAAAAGCCTTAAAAGTCCCTTCAGTGTTGGAAGGGGGGTGGAATTTGAACTTACCCCCCGAGGATCTAGCGTGGCTTCTCCAAGCTTTTGGCTCCAAGCTCACACACACGCAGCAATGGCGGAGGAGGAGCTGGGCGCTGAACTTGGGGAGGGCTGGTGGATATAGCTGGAGCAGATTCCTTTTGTTGGTGTTTTTCTCTCCTTCGTTCCCCTTCCCGTCCTCAGAGCTAATTCAGTGCCAGTGTGTATAAGGATATGTCGGCGTCGAGAGCAGCAGCAGCAGCAGCAGCAGCAGCAGCAGCACCGCTACTCCGCCTTGACGCAGCCTCAGTCCTTAGGGCGCAGAGCCGGAGGAGGCAGGAGGAGCGAGAGCAGCACAAAGGAGACCGGGAGGGGAGGGGGCGGGGTGGTGAGAAGGGAGGAGGGAGCTGCGGAGAAAGGAGGGGGGGTAGGCGCAGCCGGCTCTGCCCCCGATCTGCTACTGGTGCAGCCAAGGCAGCGAGCGCTCCCTCGGGACTTAGCGCCTCAGTGCCCGCAGTGGTACGCGGGGGCCACGAGAGGCCGGGGGAGGGGGAGACGGGCAGATGGGAGGAGGCTAGTAGCGGGGGTGGGAAGAAAAAGCGGGGGGGGGGGGCGCGTACAGCCTGCCTGGCGCCCTGCGCTCCTAGGCAGCGCTACGCTAACACTCACCATGGAAGAAAGGAGGCTGCGTTGGCAAGGACGCGCCCTGCACCCAACCGTAGCCCGTGTGGCTGAGGGTATGCGGGCGCTTTGGAAAGAAGAGGGGCGTGCAGGAGGCTTGAATCAAGTAGGCTGGAGGAGGGCTCAGTCGGGCCATGGCAGGGTCTAGCTGTTACCCCATCATCACCCGCCCCTCCCAGGCTCCTTTGCCCAATGCCAGGGAGACTACAGCAGGCGGTATAGGGGGCTTCAGGGCATTAGGGGTCGCAAACCCCTAAACCTTCCCGGGCTGCAGAACGTGCCCAGATACACAGAGCAGGTTCTCGGCCACCGGCTTCTGAGCCTTCGAAAGGGTCAAAGCACCCCGTTCGTTAGAGGCAACGATTCTAACCCAGTGCAAATAATAAATGAAGGGTGAGCTGGTGGGGCTGGGTTGAATAATAAATAAAAAGTCACCAGCTCCTACCTTATCCATGCCGCCCCCACCTCCCACCCTCATCTCCCACCCCCCTCCACACACACACACACACCCCTACCTGAGTTTTCTTAAGCTTGTGAACCAGCCAACCTCTAGCTGTATTTGCAAATGTGCGAATTGTCAAGCCTAAGGGCAGATGGGACAATAGGTGCCTGCCTCTAGTTAGGTCCAGGCATCCAGAAACGAAGCCTGTGCGACATCATACCTCCAGCCCAGCCATACCATTCCTAATCTCTCGATCCGTGCAGCTGAATCTGGTTCCCCTTCCAAAAAATAACCCACACTCTCCCCCATCCCCGAAAAAAATAACCATAGAAATAACGTGTAACACTTTCTCGACATAGGATTTAGAGCTGGAAGGGACTTTAGAGATTCAATCCCTTTATATTACAGGTGGAGAAACTGAGGCAGGCCTAGAGAGGTGAAGTGAGTTGTCTAAGGTCAGTAATTAACAGCAGAACAAATAACTGAATGCAGGTACCTGGGATTCTAAATCCCTCCATCTTTCCTCCTCTACCTCTCTCTGTAAAGCAGATCAGCCCTGTATGGTGACAAGTATGAACATACAGTTGGGAGACATGGATTCCAATCCTGACAGTCTACTTAACTCCATGTGTGACCATAATAAAATTAACTTGCATTTATATAGCTCAGCTTTATTCATTTTATACTCACAAAGACCTTGTGAGATAGATGGCATTATTGTTCCCATTTTGCTGATGAAGAAACTGAGGGTGAGAAGGGTTAAATGACTTGCCCAGAGTCACACAGCTAGTTAAGTGTTTGAGGTCAAATTTGAACAGGGGTCTTCCTGACTTCAGGTCCATCACTATCTACTGGGCCACCTTACAGCCTCATTTAACTTGTGGCCACCTCATCAGTATTGAGGATAGTAATATCTCTGCCCTCTGCCCCGGAGGGCTGTCATTATAGAGAAAGCTTGAGGTAAATTGGGAAAGGCTTGTAGATATGTTAGGGATTGTTATGTATTATTCAGGGAATTTAGGTTCTCAAGTGCTGATTATTTGGACAAAAGCAGATTTGGATTGGGAAGGCCCCGAGTTACCAAGCAAGTTTGCTGAGGGTTGCTGCCCTGCCCTATTTACCTTTTTCTCTTCAGCAACACCTGGCACAGTGCTCTGGGCATATAAGCTCTTCAGAACTCTTTGTTGAATCAAGGAATGAATTATCATGGTCTTCACTTATCCCAGTCCTTTTGCTTTCAGTTTATCATGAACTCAGAAGGAGCTCAGTAAATATTTGCTAATTTGGTTTGTGCAGATCAGATCCAGGGCTCCCTGGTCCTTTTCAAGTAAGGACTGCTTCAGTTAAAAAGAATCAGGACCACAGCTGCAAAAATCCACCTGACCCCACAATCACCATGTCCTCCTCCTCCTTCCCTATCCTTCCTAAAATTCACCTGACCTCCCACTCATCAGGTTCTCCTCCTCCTTCCCTATCCTCCTTCCTAAAATCCACCTGACCTCCTCTCTCCTTACCCTCCTGCCTACCCTATGATCCTTTTAAGTATAATTCCTGGGAGCAGGCAGCTGCTTTTCCCTCTTTGAGTTTCTTTAATTATACATAAAATATCAGAATTGGAGATCTCAGATAATTCAGTCCAAGATCCTTATTACTGGGACCCAGAGAAGTGTGTTGCTCTCATGTTCACCCAGCTAGTTAATGGTTGAATCAGGACTTAAAAAGGCATCTGACTGCATCTGACTCCTTGTGAAGTGTTCTTTCTACTCACCACAGGCACAAGCTGGATGAGATTTAGAGGGTGGCTGAGGAAATGAACAAAAAAACCCAGTTATTAAGCCCCTACTTTGTTTGGAGCACTGTGCTTAGGCTTGGGGGAGATACAACATTTAGATAGGACACAACCTCTGTCCTCATGAAGCTCACAAGCTACCAGGGATTTTAAAAAAAAAACAAAAAATGATATCAATAATACTCCTTTTTTTTGGTGGGGGGGGAAGAGGTGGAGAGCTTTTGTACAGAGAATTCCTAATGTGGAAACTGCCTCCATCTAGTCCAATACCCTTATATTACAGATGAAGAAACTGAGGTAGGCCCAGAGGGGTGAAGTGAGTTGCCTAAGGCTTACAGGTAATTAACAGCACAACTAGTAACTGAATGCAGGTACCCGTGATGAGAATGAGATCTAGATCCCAAAAAGGAAAAACCCTGGACTTTCCCACATGGCCAAATCTCTGGCATCCCCCTGAGGCTATAATCCCATCAACTGGCTTTTCATTGTGGTTGTGCCCAATCTGTTACCCTTAACCTAGCCTAGACCACCCTATGTCACCAGCCACTTCCCGCTCTTAATCCTATCCAGGCTCCATTCTCCCTTGGCCACCCCTGGAGTTCTATTACCTCACAGGCTACTTGGCCACTTCTAGATCCCTCCCATAGTCTTTCCCTATACAAGGTCCATCTTGTCTCCATTAAGGTGCTCTGATTCTTATAATCTAGTCGCTGCTCAGATTTTTACAATCTAGCCAATAGTTCACAGATGCTCAGATTCCTTAAGACTCTGACTAGTATGGTGGATCTTTAATAAACCTTGTTTTTGGCTGAAAGAAGGCTTGGGTCGAATTCTTTAGGACAGAAACTGTATGTTGTGATTTTGGGATTCCAGTACCTCTAGACCTCATCACCCGGAGTCTAAATAATCAATCTTTCCTCCTCCACTTCACTCCGTAAAGCAGATCAGCCCTGCGTAGTGAGGAGTATGTTGAACACACAGTTGGGAGACATGGATTCCAATCCCAACAGAATACTTACTCCACGTGTGGCCATAATAAAAAAAAATGCAAATCAGAGACTTGTCAGTTTATATCTTGTTTGTACATGGTTGCTTTTCTGTTGTTTCTTCCATTAAACTGAGTTCCTTGAGAGCAGGGATTGTCTTTTGTCTTTCTTTGTATCTCTAGGGCTTGGCACAGTGCCTGGCACATAGAAAGTGTTTAATGAATGCTAGTTGACTGGGTGACTGATTAGAGAATTGCCTCGGGGCATTGCAAAGAATTGGAGGAAACTGAAGCTACTGAACAAGGACATTTCAAGGTTAAATTTCTTGCCTAGACTCCCACAGTAAATAGAGATCTGAAACAAGATTACAGCCCAGGTCTCTCTGACTCAAAGGATGTCCCTTGATTCACTGTGGCTTTCACATTTCCTCCATCATACACAATTTGTTGGGGATGTTTGGTCATTTTTCAGTTGTGTCCGACTCTTTGTGACCTCGTTTGGGGTTTTCTTGGCAAAGGTACTGGAGTCATTTGCCATTTCCTTCTCCAGCTCATTTTATAGATGAGGAAACTGAGCTAAACAGGGTTAAGTGACTTGCCCAGGGTCACACAGCTAGTGTCTGAGGCCAAGGGGGGGAGGGGAGCCAAGATGGTGGAGAAAAAGCAGTGACTAGCTCTCCCCAAACCCCTCCAAATACCTATAAAAAATGGCTCTAAACAAATTCTAAAGCAGCAGAACCCACAAAAAGACAGAGTGAAAAAAATTTCCAGCCCAAGACAACCTGGATAGTTGATTTAAAAGGCACATCGCACTGGGCTGGGAGAAGAACGCCTCAGCAAACCCGGAGCAGGCCTCAGAGGACTGAATCGCCCGCAGCCCTGGCGGTTTCCAGACTTCTCAACCCACGAATGCCAAAGACAACTTGGAAGGTCAGTAGGAAAAATCTGTGACTGCGGTGAGAGAGAAGCGCAGCATCCCAGCCCTATTCCTCAAGTGTGGCCCCGGGGTAGTGGCTGCCTCTGGAGCTTCTGGCCCACAGACTGAGAGGGAATCAGGTGGCTGATCACAGAGGAATTGCATGGATCTCTTTGCTGGTGCAGGATTCTCTTGCTTTGCCTGTGCTTGGATTTGGGTCACAGCTCTGGGTGGTGGTCCTAGGGGGAGGAGGAGCACTGGCGAGGTGGAGCTGGTAGTGGTGGTGGAGAGAAAATCTTCCTCACAGTTCCAAGACAGAAAAGAGTGCTTGCAAGAACTGAAAATTTATGGATCCCTAGAAGTATCTCTGAAAACAGCTGCACAAAACCCCTGAAGCTTGGGACAGTACATTCTCCTCACTGGAAGCAGACTCTTACCTTAACAAAGAGTCTATAACT